TTATTCACTGGTTCTCAATAATTCCCACGAATTAAAGTTACATTTCATTGTCCTTCTACATGGCTTAGCAGGTGTGATACCGCAAGAGATTGGCGAACTCCCTATGTTAGAAAGAATAGTATTTGATTCGAATAGGCTAACAGGACGCATCCCAACAACGTTGTTCAACATCTCAACACTACAAGAGATCTCACTTACGGACAACCACTTCTCGGGCAATCTTCCATCAAGTTTTGGCCAGACTCTGCCCAATCTTGAATATATTACTATTGGACTGAATAACTTCAGTGGAACTATACTTGATTCTATTTCAAATGCTTCTAAGCTCATTAAAATAGACCTTGCCTTTAATAGGTTGACAGGTTCAATTCCCAGCTCACTTGGTAATTTAGGACTCCAATTTCTGAACCTGGGAGGAAACAATTTCACTAGTGAACCCTCATCGCCAGAATTGAGCTTCCTCACTTCCTTAACCAATTGCAGACAATTAACAGCATTGCTGATATATGAAAATCCTTTAAACGTATTTCTTCCGGTCTCCATCGGTAATCTCTCCGATTCTCTCGAAATGATTGATGCAAGTGGTTGTGGAATTAAGGGCAATATTCCTAGTGAGATTGGCAATTTAAGGAACCTAGTGTCCATATATCTATATGGCAACTACTTGACTGGGTTTATTCCAACAACAATCAAAGGGTTGAGTAAGTTACAACGACTTCATCTTGAGGACAACAGAATAGATGGATCCATTCCAAAGGAGATTTGCCATTTGCTGAACTTGGGTTTGTTAGCTTTGAGTGAAAATAGATTGTTTGGAACCATACCTGAATGCTTAGGGAATGTTACTTCCTTGAGATATCTGAATTTGGACTCCAATAGATTAAATTCCAGCATACCTGAAACCATTTGGAATCTCAAAGATCTTTTGGAGTTCAACTTGTCCTCTAATTCTTTTAGTGGATATCTACCGCAAGAGATTGGAAATTTAAAGGTAGCAACGGTACTTGATCTATCGGTGAATCAATTCATAGGTAATGTTCCTAGCACCATTGGAGGTTTGCAAAGCTTGGCTAGGCTTACCTTTGCACATAATAAACTACAAGGATCGATTCCTGAGTCACTTGGCAACATGGAAAGTTTGGAATTCTTGGATCTTTCCCAAAACAACTTGTCTGGTCAAATTCCTAAGTCGTTGGAGAGACTCTTGCATCTTAAATATTTTAATGCATCTTTCAATAGATTAAGAGGAGAAATTCCGACTGGAGGACCATTTGCAAATTTCACAAATCAATCTTTTTTGTCAAATGAAGCATTGTGTGGTGCTACTCGGTTCCAAGTCCAGCCTTGTTATATTAGTTCTCTTCAAAAATCAAAGAAAAAATTAATGATTCGTATTTTGTTGCCAATCGCATCAGTACTTCTTGCCTCAACAATTCTAATTTTTGGCCTAAGAAGTCGATGGTGGATAAATGAAATTCCAATTCGAACCCAATTGATACCCATGGTTACACGTGAAATAATTTCATACCATGAACTTGTGCGAGCAACTGATGGGTTTAGTGAAAGCAATTTACTTGGCATGGGGAGTTTTGGTTCAGTTTACAAAGCTACACTACTAGATGGGACGATTTTGGCTGCAAAGGTATTCAATGTGCAACAGGAAGCCGCTTTCAAGAGTTTTGATACAGAATGTGAAATTCTGCGCAACATTCGTCACCGGAATCTTACTAAAGTCATTAGCAGTTGCTCTAACTTTGATTTCAAGGCCTTGATACTCGAGTACATGCCTAATGGGAGTCTTGAAAAGTGGTTATATTCACACAACTACTTCTTGGATATCTTGCAAAGACTAAACATCATGATAGATGTGGCGTGTTCATTGGACTATCTCCATCATGATTACTCAACACGTGTGGTTCACTGTGACCTCAAACCGAGCAATGTTCTACTAGATGAAGATATGGTTGCACATGTAAGCGACTTTGGCATCGCAAAGTTCTTAGAACTGGGGGATAGCATTGCACTAACCAAGACTCTAGCCACATTTGGCTATATTGCACCAGGTGAAGGTTTTAGCTTTCAATTTTTGTCCAAATCTTAGTTATGGAATTCTTTTTCTCATATAAAAATTTCAATTTAGTTTATCAAAATTTCAATTTCATCAAAACACGTCAATTCATTTTTATTAATTATTATGTTGGATGTAGAGTATGGATTGGAAGGATCAGTATCAACAAGGTCTGATGTTTACAGCTATGGTATTATGTTGATGGAAACAGTTACAAGAAAAAAACCCACAGATGATTTATTTGCCGGAGATTTGAGCCTCAAGGATTGGGTAAATCAGTCATTGCCAGATGCAATCATTCACGTTGTAGATTCCAACTTGCTACGGCCAGAGGAACAGAACTATACTGCAAAGGTGCACTGTCTATCATCCATCATGGAATTGGGTTTGAAATGCTCTGCCGAATCACCCCATGAGAGGATCAACATGAAAGATGCTCTAATAGTACTCAAGAAGATCAAACTTCAATTAATAAAAAATTGTAAGTTAACGCATGAAAGTATCTATCTATTTCTAATTCAGTTTTTATATTCCAAGTTACAGTGAGCATCCATGGTTTAATTTTCATCAAACGTCCCGATAAAAGTAGACCTTCAGTAATTTAAAATATCGAATTCCGTGCAGGTGAGGAGCTTGAGACAAGTAACCAGCGGACTAAATGAGGACTACATTTTTTTTATAATTGATGCTGCTATCTTAGAAGGTGCAATAAGTGACTAATTTCTAGTTCTTTAACATTGGCATATCCATAGTAAGTGAAAAGTTTTACTCCGTATTTATCGGTTTAGATGCTAATAGTATACTTTTTTCAGAAATTATGGAGATCGAGATGTTAGGGTGGTAGCTCAGGTGCTTCATGATAGAAATATCATGCAATGACAACTACAAAAAGATATGCTATATATGATCCATCTGGGATTTGGCAGTGTAAATTATTATTTTTCTTTCAAAAATGTACTTCTAATGTTGTGACTCTATGTCTGGGAAGATGAAAGCTTTGATTGAGTTTGTAATAGGTTTTTTGAACTCTTAATACCAAGTATTAATTTAGAGAGCTTTGATTCAGCTTACCAGAAAACTAAATAGCATACATGGAAAAGGAGTCCATTGTTTCAAGCGTAACTAATTTCGAACTTAATTGCATGTTGTGAAGTTTACTTTTTATGGGTGAGAGAAAAATATTAGAGAGAACATTCAATTATTTTGTCTAACAGCGGACTTAAGTCAAGTGGTATCCTCTCTTACTTTTAAATGAACATTCAATTATTTGGTCCATAAAGAAACAAGAATGGGTTTGATATTTACCTACCCAAAGATATCAAATTTTTCCTTCAACAATCATATAATCTTATAGGTCATTCTTATCTCACCGATTCATCATCCGTTGAAAAATAATGATGAGGTCATTATCACATGAACGTACATACTCATCAATTGGAGCAATAGACTAGGATGCACAAATGTAAGCTTGGGAAGGAGGGATATACTTTATGCTGATGAAGAAACTCAAGGGACACGAAAGTCCAAGGGGTAGGATAAGCTCAAGCAGAAGGATGAAGACAGCAACCTTTTCTGATGACTCTCCCACTTTGTGATGGATAAGCCTAGATGAACATTGTTACCAAGACTCCCCATAAAATCATCGGACCTTCCTGCGATACAATTTTCTAAATATATTTGTAGCTAACATTTTCTAAATAGGTTAACTTATTATTAAAATTTTATTATTTATAAAAAACCTTATTATAACCAATTTAAACATTATGAAAAATTAATAAAATACTTTTTAAAAAATACCTTGTTTCCACGTAACATATTCATTAAAAATTTAAAAATTAATTAATTATATTTGAAATTTGCTACTAAATATTTTTATTTAAATAATTAATTTAAAAAATTAAGGGTAAATTTAAGCAAATTTAATGGAGGATATGTCATCAAATCAGTATGAATTTTTTTCATAATTTATTTAGATAAGAAAAAAATATTAAATGTAATTCAATACAAAGGGGTGTTATGGTCATTTAATGAAATCTAATATAGGTACTAAGGTATGTTGCAACAAACTGTTATAGTTTATGTTTTAAAACATTTGAGTTGTTACAGTTGTATTTTGTGTCATTATGATAATATAATTTGTTGTGTGGTTAAAGTAAAATAATTTAAATAGTGTTTTTGTATAGTTTTAAAATTAATTTGAAAAGATTAGTAGACAAATTTAATAGTTTGAAAAGGTAGCCTATTTGAAAATATGCATAATTGACTAGTGAATTTTTAAAGTTTATATATAATTATTTTTGAGCCCAAGTTTTCAAATCAAGACTTCGAGCAACCACGCATTAATTGTGGTGTGGGCAATAGCAGTGGATCCACAATGGAAGACTTTTGGCTCAAATAACACTAGCCTATGGTTGGAAGAGGAAAGATACAAGTCAAGTTAGTCTTTGCCCATGGTACACTTCTAGTGCCATTTTCTGCATTCTATTCGGTGTGGAAAATGTGATTCTTCGAAATTGTGCATTGAACCACTGGCTCTAGTGTCCTTTCTGTATTTTTTTTTTCTATGTCGAAAATTTGATTCTTTGAAATTGTGTACTGTGCCATTGGCTCTATTCCTTTTCTGCTGCATTTTATTCTAATGTGGAAAATGTGATTCTTTGAAATTGTGCACAGAACCATTGACTATATTGTAGTATAATCAATTTCTCTTACAGATATTTTGAGGTTGCTAATAAGCATAACTGACTCAAATATATTGATAGGCCGTCAATCACGAGGGGTGATATGAACTTTCCAGCCGTCCAGTAAAATTAAAGGAATAATTTAGACCTTCCATTTTTTCTTATCATTTTTTTTCAGTACAGCTAAAATCTATGAGATATATATATATATATATATCCATTGTGCTATGTTTTGCATGCCCACCATTTTTGTATTAATCCAAATTAATCACATACACTCATGGAGAGAACTTGCTTTGCTCTTTTGCATGTAGTGTCGTTAGTGCATTGTCCTTTGGCTTGTTTAGCTGCTGGGAGTGTCACCAACATTACTAGTGACCAATCTTCTCTTCTTGCCTTGAAAGCCCACATAACTCTTTAACTCTCGTGGTGTCTTGGCTAACAATTGGTCCACAGCTACCTCTGTTTGTAACTGGATTGGGGTCACTTGCGGCACTCGCCACCTACAAGTGACATCTTTGAATATTTCTAACATGGCTCTTGAAGGTACAATTCCACCACACCTAGGTAACCTCTCGTTTGTCGTTTCCCGTTTCCCTCGACCTTAGTACCAACAATTTCAGTGGTCATCTGCCCTATGAATTATCTCATTTGCGTCGACTGAAATTCATGAATTTGAAATTTAACAAATTTAGTGGACAGCTTCCATCATGGTTGGGTGTCTTAGCTGAACTGCAAGAGTTAATTCTTCATAACAATAGTTTTACAGGTACTATCCCACCTTTCCTCTCCAACATATCGATGTTAGAACACTCGGATTTATCTTCCAATTTTCTACATGGAATGATTCCACAAACCATTTTCAATATCTCGTCGCTGCAACTGATTGCTTTTACGAACAATAGCTTACCTGATAATCTACCAATGGATATGTGCCATCGTCTTTCAAACCTCCAATTGCTTCATCTATCTTTCAATGAGTTACATGGCGAAATCCATCAAGTTTATAGGAGTGCTCAGAACTCCAAAGTTTGTCACTATCATTTAACAAATTCAATGCACCTATTCGTAGAGGGATTTGGAATTCAACTGTGCTCACGCACTTATATCTTGGCCTTAACAACTTCGAAGGTACTCTTCCACATACTATCTTTAATTTGTTTATGATCAATTTAGTGTGCTCGTGTTAGATTCCCTCTCCCCCTAATTTTTCAAGAAAAAAAAAAATTTATAAGTCTGTGAATTAATGTGCTCTCATAGTGAGTTTGTAGCTTGCCAGGTTTAAAAAAATACATGCCACATATTTTGTTATGTTTATCTATAATTATATGATTAAAATGAATAGTTTTATATTGATGGTAATTAAGTGTGAGAAAACCGGTTTGAATCTTGAGAGCATTTGTTTTATACTTATATTATTAATATAATATCAAAATTAATTTGTGTACACAAATAAATTCTTTTGCAGGTGAAATTCCAGAGGACATGGGTAACCCTCGTAATTTGGAGGTATTAGCAATACAGCGTACCCGCCTCATTGGTCGCATTCCATCATCCATATTTAACATTACTTCTTTGAAACAGATTTCATTTTTTGAGAACAACTTGACTGGTATGATCCATTTAGTTTGACAAGCTTTACAAGTTATTTTTTGCTTTAATATACTAAATACATTTTTTCTTCTATAATTTTCATTTTTCCTTTGGGTTTTGCTATTCATGCTAACTAAACACAGCCTGGGAAGGGGGGCTAAAAAGACAAATATGCCCGCAAGTATGGGCATTGAAAGACGACCAAGAGATGGGCTGAGCCACTAATAATAGGCCCAAGAAATGTATACCTAGCCCTGGCGAACTTACCTCTCCACGTGGGTCAAGCCAACTCGCCAAGTAGATAACTCATTAACTACAAGGGGTGGGCATAAAGGGAAACATATTAGGGCAATGCGCGGACACTATAAAAGAAACAAGAAAGATACTGGGAGGGGGATCGTGTATTGTTTGGAAACTTTCCATTTGTGGGAGAGAACCTATTTCTGTACCTACACCTAATTGGCACTCTATGGGAAACGACGAATGAGATCTCATACTTTTCCGACTTCATTCATGACACAGCTGCGATTAGGAACTATGATCGGAGAAGGAAGTTTGCGTCAGCAAAGAGAGAATCAAAGCGATCGGCAGGATAAGCTCTGGTAACTGGTTCAGACCCTACGTCGGGAGAACGCGGAGCTAGTCGAAACTGCATCAAAAGAACGCGAAACAATGATAACGTTTTTGAGCGTGTTGCTATGCCACGAACTTCGTCCCCTCCAATGGATGTCGCGGTGACAAACAAAGCTGATCAACTATAAAATGACTGGGTCGGATCTGTTCATCTCAACTCCCGCCGACCTGAGATCGACCCAGGGTGCAAAGGATTGACGAACGAGCAGGAGGGAACTAGTAATCGGCCACTACATGAAAATCCACTACAGACCAGATGTTTGACGAAACGTCTAAAACGGATATCAGGACACAGGTTCAAAAGAAGATAAGAGAACAAATGAAGAAGCTAAAGGTGCCGACGTCAGTTGACATGGCCGCCAAGACATCCACCTATATGGTGGAATCCGCCTTTCACAGAGGAGATCCTTAAGAGCCCAAGCCAAAGAAGTTTGTTATCCTAATATTCACTTCATTTGTTAGGACTAAAGACCCGATGGAGCACGTCTACAATGTGCCACTCAAAATGGCTTTGCACACAGACGATGACGCTTTGATGGGTAGAGTATTTCTAACAAGCCTTGCTGAATGGCGCTCAACTGGTTCAAACACTTGCTAAAATGATCAGTCGGCAGTTTCCATCAATTGTGTGAATTGTTTATGCCTAGTACTTTAGTAACCAGTGAATTCAGAAGACCGTATTGAGCCTATTCACGATGAGGTAGCATACGGTTGCAAGCTTTCCTTACCATGTTCAACTTTGAAATGATTATGGTTAATGACTGCGATCAAATGGCAGTGGTAGAAGCTTTCAAGCTAGCGATCATTCTAGGGATGAAATTCCATTCTTCATTGGTAAAGAAGACCCCATTGAACATGGGGACGTTAGGTGCCAAGGCTCAAGGATACATACAACTAGAAGAAGAGGACATAGTAAGGATGCAACGAACCACCATGGCTGTCGTGGAGAGCCGATTATGTGATAAGATGAAGAAACAAAGGCACTTAATTGAAGCACCACCAGCTCCTTGGAGACCTCCCAAACGGCAGAGAAAGGAGGAAACTTTGACCCCTCTAAAGATCTCACTGGAAAGGCTCAACTAAGAGAACAAGAAAAGGCTCAACTAAGAGAACAAGAAAAAGTTCACACCACCACAACCAATTGATCGGTTGTCAATTATACATCAACCTTTGCAATAGCACAAATCATTGTAAAATAGGGCTATTGGTCGGGTAAGTCGAACCACTGGGACTGCTAGTTTGTGGCAACTAAGGTCTTTGAATTCACTTTTAGCTTGAAGAAAGGTGTAGAGTTTTGTTTGGTTTGTCACTTGAAATTAAAATGTGCTTAAAGCAATAATTTGCAAGAAACTTAGAGGAAAGAGATATAAGTAAAGAAGACTAGGGAAGTGAATCCACTACCTATCCTATAGCATGCTAATTGAGGTAAACTTAGGGGTAACAACACCAATATGTGACTATGAAATGCTACAGCACAAAATTGCTACATTCCTTCAAGAAATTCATGAAATTAATGGCAAGAATAACCGATCAAAGTTACACATGCTTGAATTACCTAAACTAGGGTGTAGTCTTAAACATGCTTGCTAAGCTAGAGATTATCAAGCCTTTAATCACATGGTAAGAGCACATGATGTCAAGAGTCAAGAATAGTCCATCAAAGGAGGTCCTAAGCTATGGAATATCAAGATTCTCATACAACATGCCAAGAAACCCATTTCACAATCTCATTCCCATTTTCACTATGAAAATGCAAGCCATACAATCATGAGAAAATAAGATCTAAGACAAGATTATACATTCATCATAATCATTTATAAGAAATTCGATTCATTACATCAAATGTAACCTTTAGATTGTAAAGTAGTCACATACATACATCATTTTCCCCAAAATAAACCAAAAGCTGAGCATGCTTACAATGTAAGGCTTCATCACCTCCCTAGAAAGGGAGTTAGTTACCCATAGGAGCAATGGATGAAGGAGAATGAGAGATCTTCCCTTCCATTTTCATGTTTAAGGGCTCCAAGACTCCAAACCCAAGCTTACAATCTTTCTTTCTCTAGAAACTTCATAAAAATGTGAGATATGGAATAATACATGCTTCCATTCTTTTATCAAGACAAAATCCTCTTTCTCACCACACAATCCCGAGCTCTAACCACCCTAGAAGCAATCAGGACCACAAAAATTACTTAGGAGACAAAATGCAGCTTGAAATCAGGAGAAGGTGATTTGCTTTCTGCAGATCAACGGGGGCCCGCGGGGCACTGGCAGGTTCCTGCGGGTCCTTGACAACTGAGGGAGTTCACTGGACAAAACGATGGGCGCCCGCGGAGCTGGCAGCGGGGGCCCGCGGATCACTGCAGGGCCCCGCCGATGAAGACAGCATTCTGGAGTGATTGGCGGGCGCCCACGGTGGCGCGGTGGGCGCTCGTAGAGCCTTGTCGTCGGAGCACTCAACCCTCACTTCAGCCATTTTGATTGGTCTGATGACACGGCCGTCATTTTTAATGCAAGGCCGCAAAACTCACGCACATGCTGACTCAAGAAACTTGGCTCAAATGACGGTCCCCAGCAACGGCATGCTCTGATCCTTCAAAGGATTGTCAAAACCGCTCTTTTAATCATATTCGGGGGAACCAACTTGAAAGTAGACGAAAGCAAACAAATAAAGCTAAACTATACATTATTATCAACTAATGGACTTAACTAATGTAAATAAAGGTGTTTGAATATGCAATATTTGGTGCTTATCACACCCCCAAACTTACATTTTGCTAGTCCCATAGCAAAACCAAAGTATAGAACCTAACAAAAATGGCAACATATGAAACGCTAACAACATGCGTCAATCATGAAGTGCGAAAATACCTATAAAGCTCAAATATAACCTGGAACAATAGAAAATTGGAGACAGACTCATTCAGCAGACTACCTTGCATATATGAGGCCTTGATAAACAAAAATGGTAAAACACATTTCAGCTTTTATGCATCAATCATCATAGTCTATATAAACACTTCAATTGTTATTCTAAAAGAGAATTGAACTCTAACTTCAGTGAAAGTGAACCGGATTCCCAATATGCGGCTTTTACCCTTTTTTTCCAATCTCAGAAACATAAGCCTTCAAATCATTGAATTTCCTTCTAAATGGGGTTTCTAAGGCATGACTTTATTCACAATACAACTTTTGTTGCTTGTTGAAAATTTATTCAATAGTTCAAAATGATACGTATTATGGTTGTGCAATGCCGAAGTCCCTTAAGCTTTCTAACCAACCCATGTAGCAAGTGTTAGGCCAACAACTTCCAAACCGGATGGCTTTAGGGTGTTAAGTGTAGAGACGCTCTTAGGGCTTAATAACTTAAATTGGCAAGGCTACAAACTTCAACGAACCATATTTATTTATTTATATCTTTTTGTGAATGACAGTGCAATGTCTAAGTCTCTTAAGCTTTCTAACCAACCTATGTAGCAAGTGTTAGGCCAACAACTCCCAAACCGGATGGCTTTAGGATGTTAAGTGTAGAGACACTCCTAGGGCTTAATAACTTGAGTTGGAAAAGTTACGAACTTAAACTGGTCATTATCATTGATTACTTCTTCTTCTTCTTCTTCTTCTTCTTCTTCTTTTTTTTTTTTTTTATTTTTTTTATTTTTTTTATTTATACTTACAATTTACAAAAACATGCCAAAGATATCCATTCATTAGGGCCATCAATTCAAATCCACTTTGTCATGGTCAAGGTCAATTGGGTTACATACCTCATAATTAGGTTCCCGGTGTGCTTCTGTGCAATGTAAAACATAGAAGAGTTTGAAATCCAATGAAAATCTAATTGAAGTATTTATACAAACCGATATGAATCAACATGGTCATTTCAATTTTTTCTTTATTTTCAAAAAATATTATTTGCCTCTATACACAAAGTCTTAAACATATGATTCCATCTCTAATAAGTTCTATGGTTACACTATCATTGTTCTAACAAAATGATTTTATTAACTTACATGCTTCAAGATACGGTCATGCAAGCAAAAATGTTATGTTATCTAAAAAATGCAACAATTGTAATGCACCCCCAAACTTAAATGTCACATTTTCCTCAATGTGAGAAGACAAAGGATAAATAATGAAAAGGAAAAGTGCAACAGAACAATAGTACCAAGTTGAAGAGAAATTCAGTGGCGGTGCAAAAATAGGCCACTTCGTGAATTCCATGAGCATGCCCCCAAACGTGGTTGCAAGAACCTGTTAAAAGCATCTATACACAACAAGTATCATATGAATCCAAAATGAATGAAAATAACTGCAAGTTATTCAACTAAAAACTATAATCCATGCAAAGTAGCAAAAGCGATGCAGTTATAAGTTCAAAAGAAGATGGAAAGTAAT